CCGCTTAGAGAGGGCTGAAAGCCCTATGAAGCGGAATATAAGTCTAACAAACAAACAAACAAACAAACAAACAAATAAATAAATAAATAAATAAAATATATTGGCATGTATCCTAGTTTGGAATGATCAAAACTTTTAAAAACTTCCATAATGTGTTATAACCAGTCTCTTGTCAGAGAAGGACAGGCAGAAACTGAGGGCAGAGTGAAAAAAGAAATCAGCCTAGAATCATTACATTCCTACAAGCAATCCAAGTCCAGCATCCTTTGAATTCCATTAACTCTTATCTAGAGCCAGTTTAGTGCTGACCATTAGTTGACTAGAATCTGTAGGATGAGCAATAGATCAGTTTAACTGGTACTTAATGTGTGGGATTCCCAACATATCTCTCTCCACTTCCTTCCTTCCTTCCTTCCTTTCTTTTTCTCCATCAGTTTGAATCAGTGCTACTGCAATTTATTTATTTATTTATTTATTTATTTATTTATTTATTTATTTATTTGTTTGTTTGTTTGTTTATTTGTTAGACTTATATACCGCTTCATAGGGCTTTCAGCCCTCTCTAAGCAGTTTACAATTTTTTTTAGCAAATTGAGTCAGCAACTTGCCCCCACAGTCCGGGTCCTCATTTCACCCACCTCGGAAGGATGGAAGGCTAAGTCGACCTTGAGCCAGTGAGATTTGAATCGCTGAACTGCAGATCACAGTCAGCTAAAGTGGCCTGCAGTACTGCACCCTAACCACTGCGCCACCTCGGCTCATATTTGACAATTGGTTCACAATTGCCTAGATTTTCAGAATATCTTTTTGCACTGACAGGTTAGCCATTGAGGATTGAGATGAGTTGTAAGATCAGTTACTTTGGTACAAGCGTCAATCCTGTTTTTGAATTGTTATAAAGATCCTCTGAGGAAAACTCAGACTCTTAATGTCTACCAATGCTACTTCCCATAAGAAGCTATTAAAATTCGGCACAAAAAGAAAAAAAAGCTAAATGTCAATGTCAAGTACAATTACCTGTTCATTGTATATTTCCAGCATACTAAATGTAATCTATAAAAGGGAAAAGATACCACAAGATAGATTATTAGTTCCATTATTATTTAACTAGAAAAATGCAGCTGTATATTCTACAGAGTTCTGCATTATTGTATATACCTAGTTTTTTTTTCTGTAGTTGCATTCTATCCGAGTTCCCTCTTGTTCGGAAAGTAGCTGTTTAGGCTTAAGATTTAAAACATTCCAATGTATTAACTATACACACACTCACTATAGTCAAAGGCTGTCATCACATAGATTTTAATTTTTTATTATGAATGTGTCTATCAAAAAAAAAAACTTGTATAGCAAAAGATGGAGTCACATTATCCATAATTTCTTCTTCAAATGGAAGACACATTTTCTTAAAAACAGTCAGAGATGGACCCTTATTGATACAATAGAACAGGGATGATCTGAAATATTTTCATATATACAATTTTCACAATAAATAACGTTTTTCTTTGTCCCTCAAAAATCTTGTTATTTCTGACTGTATATATATCTTACTCTGATTATGTGTCATCAATATTAGCAATTATATAGATTTTTCCTGTGATAATTTGTCCCCAATCAATTCCTTCAGGTCTTGCAGTATTTTAATGCCTTGGGATATCATGTCCATTTATGATAAAAATAAACCAGTATCTCAATATACGTAAATATTTTTGTAAACGGGTCATAGGTCAGCTATGTTGCAATGCCTGAACTTTTGAACATACCTGATATTGTTTATTTGTGTCTTGATTTTGAATCGTTTTAAACAGCTCTTCACATATGACTGGAATTATGCCTCTGTTTGCACCATGGCCTATCATTGAGTAGCTCTTCCCTGAGCCGGTCTGACCATAAGCCAGAAGAGTGGCATTGTAACCTTGCCAAGCATTGTCCAGAATTCCCTCACCAAGGTCATGAAAAATGTCCCTCTATAATGATAGAACATTCAGTTTTATCAGATTTAATTAAATTGCACAAACGATAGTGATATTGGGTAACCACAATGAATCATATATCTTAATCTGGTGATACCTACAAATGTCTGATCAGACATTCAAGGAAAAATACATCCAGTTAAGGAAATACCTAAACAAAGATAACTTCTTGAGCGTGGAGATGTGGGCACCTTTCCCCTGCCGCTCCTCCCCTCCCGTTTCCCCGATATTAGCTTTCAGGTCTCATGGGTTTCTGGATGGTTTTCCAAAACTGCCTCCAGAGCCATCATTAAGACACTGTCTCACCCCTTTAACTCGGATAGCATTGATAGCACTGGTTAAGGAAAAAATAAATGAAAAATGTATAATGAAATACAAAATTTACATCACCGATAAACAATTTTTTTTCAGATAAGCAGAGGAGAGAATAATGGCAGCTGGTCGTACCAAGGATCTCAATTATCCTCAAACTTCCATATTAATGTCTAAATTGCACAGCTATGCTCTAGGCAGTGAGGACTTTGAACATGTTAAACATGGCAGTCCAAGAAAATAATGTTAACAAGCCTTGAATTAGGACACTCATGTTTTTATTCAATTTAGACTGCAATGTAATACCCACATACTGTGTTCCTCTTGGTTTACCTCTTCTGTCAACCAAGAAGGAACTCATGTATGAAACCAAAAATTTGAAGTTGGATCCTACACTTCCATTTCTGTTTCTATAGTTGTTGGGAAAACTCTGCCTTTGGAAGCTCATAAGAAAGTAAGTGTTGAAGAACCCAAATCCATCTACCTCCACATCCCCAACCTGAAAAATTGACTTAAACCAGTTTGAGAGTTGAATTAAATTTAAATTTCCTTCTCATGGTTAGAGGGGGAGAGGGCTTTTGATTAAATCAGTGGCAGTCAATCTGGTCCCTACCGCCCACTAGTGGGCGTTCCAGCTTTCATGGTGGGCGGTGGGGGTTTGCTGTAACTCTGCCTTATAAATTTTATAAAGTAAAGTTACTTACCTACTTTATAAATCACCATACTGTAGAACTAGTGGGCGGTTAGAAAATTTTACTACTAACAGAGATACAAAAGTGGGCAGTAGGTATAAAAAGGTTGACTATCCCTGGGTTAAATCATGAAGTATAAAAATAACTGCAATCACTTACTTTGCACTAAATTTTTACTGTGACTGGGCTTGTGGATTATCAGGCTTATCTATTGGCTAGTCTGTGCAATATTTTTGTCATCACAACTGATGAGGAATAAATATTTGTATTTTTTTCTCAATAGAAAATATTAAAGTACTTTTTACCTGCCCAGCATATCTGCTGTTCGGTCCAGATGAAACAAGCTTGCCATCTTTGTCCTTTAAAAATCCACTGTGTGACCAATATGCCAGGTCAAAGGTAAAGGACTTTACATGACTTGGATTTTTAGGATCATGTATGCTTGTTGTGCTGGAATTTATAGAAATCACACATCTGCTGCCTGCATCTTTCTCTCTCTGTTGAAGTTATAGTCAGTTTAAATTCATTAAAATTCAAATTGCTAACTTGATCTTTTTCAGTTCAGACTATAGCATATATATTTGCATTTTGGAAGAACCTGATTAATTTTTTTTAAACTTGTTTTTATTTAAATCTTTAAATACAATAGTAAAAACCAGCACAAACTCTTAGTTTCCCTGGTTATATGGGATATTGTCGTGGGTTTCCAAATCTTAAACGGAAGAGTTTTATAGGTGCATTATCTTCTATTGCTTTTAGAGTAAGAAAATTATAGCAGGTTAAAAAAAACATGCTTTTAATGCTCTCCTCACACGTGTGGGAATTGTCTCCAAACTTGAAATCCTTGCTAGCATCTGTGGAACCTCTGGGTTTGCCAGCTGAACAGGTAGTTGAAACCCAACTTTTAAATGTCTCATTAAATAACACCTGTTATTTTACTTCATTTTAAATTTTTTGTTAGGAATAAACAGGAAATTGAAATCAGATTTACAACTGCTTATTGTATTGAGCCTCAAGGGCCTAACATTTCCAAGGCAGAGCACATTTGCAAATTTAACAAAACCACCTATCAAGCATTGATAGCCTCAGGCAAAAATGCCCGAAAAGTGAAGTTAGGCCTGGTACCACCAGGAAGGGATAGTCTATTTAACTTGGGTAGTATAAACATCATGACCAAGTTTCACTTTGTCTCCCCATTTAACACATTATTTTCTGCTGCTGATGCCTTACCAGACCCAAGTTTCTAAAGTTTCTACTCAAGTTCCCCATTTTTTTGCCTTTTGTTCATCTCTCTTCTCTACAACACAAATAACCCAATGACTTAAAAACAATAGACTACACAAAATGAACAACTAACCTGGTTGAAAGGTCTGACACGTACTGCTACTTTCACACTGTCAGAGTTTGGCATCTTAAACTCTTCAAGGAATTAAAATATAGTGTACAAGCACCAGTTATATCCGGAACACTGCTTGGATAATTCTTTTAAAAAAGATGGTCTGGAGCACAATTACTTGGTGCTTTATATCCAATACATTATTTATATCTTCACTTGTCACCTGTCTAAGGTAACTGATAAATTATTTCTAAGAGGAGCTCCATTAGATTAGGTTGACTGCTACTGTGTATTGGTCTTCAAATATACACCTGAATGTTGATAAACTTATGTAAAATTCTATTTGAATTATTTATGCACTGTTTTTCTCTTAAACTATAATTTCAATTCAGCCTTTTTACATCTTTTTTGTGCTACAATGATAGGTCGAATACTACAGAAGAGTATTTCCAGACAAATTTTATTTTAGCAAAATTGTGGTAACATTTCTCTAGTAACCACAAAATCTATAAAACATGCATCATCTCAAAATATCAAATTTGAACTAAATTTAAGTAGATGAAATCCCTGAAATGCTGTCCCTTGTTGAATACTTGTGACAATATAAATACCTTGAATGTTAAGAACCTTTTGCTGATGCATCAAGTTAAAAAAAAACAATTGAGGTGAGATTTTGTTTTCTAAATCAAAGAGCAGCTTTCCCAAGTTAAAACAAATACAAAAAAATATTGCACAGCTTCAGTACAATGGTTTACATTCTGACTTCTTCAATTAAATACATGTTGAATAGAGAGAATAAGGTTTTATTTATGATGGATAACTTCTAGTATTAATTCCCATGAGGTCAACATATTTTCTAAAAATTCTAAAAGTGTGAAATTTAAATTTTAAAAAATTTATAAGATCAAACTTTTTTTAAAAAAAGAATGCTGGCCTCCCATCAGAGGCACCAACAGTGGAAAGTCGTAATTAAAATCCCCTTTGGGTCATTTGCATTCTGCATCCATATTATTCTCTTCCAAAATGTAGTGGACAATAATCATTAAGTATACATTTTTTATTTAACATTCCTAAAATATTTATTTACATATTATATAAATGTACGAAGTATATTATAAAATAGAAAACTGCATTGACTGAAGAAATCACACTCCATACGGAGTTACTTATTGAAGATCTTTAGTTCTCTGAAAATTTACAATAATTTATATAAATTATCTTCCAAATTAGATGATTTTTTTCTTAATATTCCACACAAATGTGATGACTTTACAAATATTGGTGTACATCACACATTTTTAAAAGCAGTTATAGCATCTTCTTCCGTACAACTGGCTTTGGGTAGCTAGACAGTCTCTTCTCCTTCCTACGAACAGTTTTTTGAACAGCTTTTTCTGTTTTATCCACAGAATCCCCTTGCTTTTGTTTGGTTTCATCTGCAGGGGTGCCAAAGGGCGAAATGAACTTGATTTCCATTGCTGGGGGTGACCAACTACCGTCTTTCCCTAAGATTCTGTAAGAAAAGAGAATATTTTTAAAGCTAATTTAACTATATCTGAAAACACAGTAACAAATCAAGTTGAGAATTCACATTGCAATAAGTAAATATTAAATGTATCAATGTGCCATATTTCATATACAACTAATTTTGAATTTTTTTTCATATATATTATTTTTGAAGCAGGATAGGAAGAATATTGATCTATGATATTAGTGAAGACTCCTGAAAATACAGTGAAAAGCCAAGAAAACAAATAAAGAAAAGCCAAAACTATTAAACAGATCATCCAGAATTCTCACTTGTCACAAATGAACAAGCTGAAATTATCCTCTTTGGATACATCATATAGCGGTGATGGCTAACCTTTATGGCACCGTGCCAAAAGCGTGTTTGCGCAGCCATAATGTAATGCACATGCAACTCCCATGTGCGCCGCCCTTGCAACCCCCATGCCTGCACATGTGACCCCTGCGTGCAACCCACCCCCATGCATATGCGACCCACACGTGTGGCAGAGACCCAAAAATCAGCTAGCTGGTGGGAGGCATGCGCGCATGCACAGCAGAACTGAGCTGGGGCGATGGCTTGTGTTCCCGCAGAGAGGGGTCTCTTGCCACCTGTGGCACGCGTGTCATATGTTCGCCATCACGATTATATAGCGTCATCAGCTATCTTGAAAAGATTATTATGAAAAAACATGGCAAGAAAGAGAAGGAGATGACAATAAACAGCAAGGAGGATGGACTTGATTATAATGGTGAGGACTGTACCATTGAAATAACAGGTTAGGAATAGATTGTCATGGAGAAAATGTATGTGATCTCTAGCAGCTAAAAAGGACTTAATGTGACAATCATTTTTTGAAACAACTATTTTAGAAAAGAAACCATTACATACTTTCTTGTTTTTGTTGTTTTTGATCTTGTAGCTCTGCTTTTAATATTTTGCTTTTCTAAAGTCTCTACTGAAACAGCATGCTTTTCTTCTTTAACTGGCAATTCCTAAGAACAAATAATATTAAAAAGGCAAAACAGGAAGGCATTGTCTCTATCCTCTAGCTTTTAAAAGTTTACTTTAAATCCAAAATAGATAAATCCCATAAGACCCTTAATATACAAGATAAACGAAATAAAATACATTTTCCAAGTATTTGTTGAAGATGACCAACTGTTAGCAAATTGAAAAATCATAAATAGTGCTTTGGAATTGTTGTCATACTGAAAGTGAATATTAGAGGGTTAGGAATTAGACATGCAATGAATGGTCTGCTATGGTAAAATGATACAATGAGCAGTAAGTTAACAGAATTTAATTATCAACTTTGCCTATGGTATATGAAATATAAGAACATTTGAATATATACAGAAGAAATGATCAAATTACTTACCAGATCTTCCACAATCCTTGAAATACTGGACACCTGCTTTTTCCTGGACCTCAGGACAGGGGGTGAGAACACGAACTTAGAAGCCAAATCTGTATCTACACCTTTGAATTGAACAGGTGTCACTGTTTTTTCACCTAAAAGCAGAAACCATAAACTTGACTTTGGAAATAAACATTTGAGGCACACAACTTCAACCACAATCCTGCATCCAGCAGTTTATCATGTGAATCAACTACAAGGGTCCATATTTAGATGTCCCAGGATCTGTTTAATGGAAGAGAAAAAATTTAAACCCTGGACACTGTAATACTACATAACTCATTTTTGCATAGGTCCCATTTGAACTGAAAACCAAAGGATGGCATCTTATTGCTATCAATAGTCTGGCAACAAATTAAGCCAAACCATATTTCCTAAGTAGAAAATTAATACAGGGAGGAGTGATTAATCCCCCAACTAGCTTTGTAGGCTCTTAGAACTATTTTATATTTCAGAGAAATGTTAGGCTTCATTTTCTCAGTTTAGCTTAGAAGCACTCTTCCTTTAGTTTATCCCTCTCCATCAGTTAATAAATAGAGGTTACCTCTCTTCATTCACAAAAAAAATGAGGGTTGGTCAGTGGAAAAGACAACAAAACCTGAGACAAAGAATCAAGAGGCATAAAGTGTCTTAAGTTCAATCCTTCCCTTTTTCTTAACACTGAACTTGCGTGTGTGGAGGTTTTGGTTAGGATTCCAACCTCTCCCCAATTGCCAGAAACATCACATCTGGAATTTGTTAACTGGGTGGCTCTTTTTGATCAATTTAATTTTTTCACCATCTGAAACTTAGTTTGAATCAGCACCCTACTTTGTTACCAGATGTTATGATGTTGACAAGAAAAAAATCAAGACAGCATACCTGTCTTTGGTGCGACAGTTCTTCATAGGTTTGTGTATTTTTCTATTCGAATTTGGGATCTCTACCATTAGTAAATGTATCAATAAACACAAGCACATTTTTATTCACTGCATATGCTTCAGAAGCAAATATAGGTAGCCCTCAACTTACGACCACAAGTGAACCCAAAATGTATGTTGCAAAGTGAAAAATTTCTTAAGTGAATTTTGCCCCCGTTTACGACTTTTCTTGCTACATTTGTTAAGTGAATCACTGCAGTTATTAAATTAGTAACAGAGTTGTTAAGGGATTCTGATTTCCCCATTGACTTTGCTTGTCAGAAGGTTGCAAAAGTTGATTACATGACCCCGGGTCACTGCAACCGTCATAAATGTCAGTCAGTTGTCAAGCATCCGAATGTAAATCACGTCACCAGAGATGCTGCAACCGTCATAAGTGTGAAAGATGGTCATAAGTCACTTTTTTCAATCATTAAGTGAACTGTGTAAGTCAAGGACTACCTGTACAATTTCTGTGAATTTCCTCTTCCCAAGTCCTTTTAGCCACGCCATAAATTACTTTCCTGCAGGACTGTATCTGGAAAAGGCATAATCTATTTTCAGCAGAAAACATTTTTCTGGCTATGTATCATGCAGCACTCTTTCTAGACTTGGATCAACCCTCATGCAGAGCAGACAATTTGACTATCCTCTACAGAATTTCTGAAGCAAAATTTCAAGTACCTTTAGTTTCTTCTGTGAGTTTAGTAAGAGGAGGAGAAAAATAGAAGGTTTCATTTATATCCAGGGAAAGTGACTGTTTTACTTTCTTTGGGGTTAATCTTGTCTTCTTAATGCTACTAGCTTGGTGTGTCAAAGTTTCTTTTATTTCGCCAAGCCTCAGCTTGGCCACATCTGTAGTCTCTGATTCCACTTCATTATCATTTGCTAGCAGCAAATGTTCTTCCTCTCTACTTGTCTCTGAGACAGAAGGCAACGTACTCTTCTTTCTAATTCTAGTTATCCTAGCCCGCCTGTTTTCAGACTTCTTTTCTGAAGCTACTGCCTCACTTGGCTGAATAACACATTCTTTTAGGTTAGACTTTTCTATATCTGTTTTCTCTACACTTCGAGATGTCGCTCTTGAGGATCTTCTCTTTGGGGTTTTCATTATAGAAGTTTCTAGAGAAGGTAAATGTCCCGAGGTTATAGACAGATGTACAGCCCCACTCCTAGTATTGCGTTTATGGACTGAGGACACAGCATCTGAAGAAGATAACCGAGACAAGTCCAGTTGTGATTCTGCCGA